TTTGACTTCCAAATAGACTGTCCGGTAGGATTATTCTGTTTTTAGAAAAAAATTCACCCGGGACATTCTTATTCCAACCACCCCTTTTATTACGAACGAAGGAATTTTCCTCGCACCCCTTAATTTAGGCTACAACAAATTCTAATAGGCTCTTATATCCGGGTTTCTCTTATAACCGGGTTTGGTCTACAGTGTAACCCGGATATAAGAGAGTTGTCGGGACCGGAGAAGAAGTCTCTTATATCCGGGTTTAGTCTATTTTGTTTAGGTAAGTATGGCTCTAATTTGGGACCAGAGAAAATCTCTCTTATATCCGGGTTTCTCTTATATCCGGGTCTCTTATATCCGGGTTACACTGTATATGCACATATATAAATATACATGCATTAATCATCCTATATTTACCAATGTTATTCGTTAGTAATTTATTTTTATCAGTTTTCTATGGCAAAATCTATCCTGCTATATTTCGTCGATAATCTACGAAACCCGATCGATCAAGAGAGTTTATTAGTTTTGATTTCAATCGAGCTTTACTTATTATGATCCCGATAACTGCGAAAGGAAATAGTAAAAGATCTCACCTCAAAATAGCGAACACACACACACACACACACACACACACACACACGATCTAAAACTGAAATAGACACATACACACGCATACAGACACACTCTCTCTCCTTCACCAGAAAACATGAAGATTGGAACTTGGAAAAGGATCTAAACTGATATGGAGTGGCAAATCAAAATTTAACATCTTTGAGTCTGATGGTTGAAGATAGAAGTAAATCATTAGTATCACTCCGACTACGCTAGAATATAAGTTACCAATGTGTAAAAACGTTATACCGAATTAAAGTAATAGAATTCTTATTTATAAATATTAGATAAACGTTATGCTACGAAACTATCATAGGCCCCAATCACATGGGCCTGTAGTAAGTTTTCAGCATGATAACAACCAAGTACTTACGGCCAGTCGTATTCGAACTTAAATTGACGTGTTGCAGTTATCGGTCAAGTTGCAGGACCTCAAAAACATTGAGAACATAAAGAAACATGTTGGTACACTATACAAAAGTAATTTGCGTTTTAGACACATTTCTTTATCAGGAATATTTTCCTTTAATTTTAATCATATAGATATTGTTCTAAGTTTGAATATATTTAATCGATAATATACAGGAGACTCGAAACTCGTAAGTTTATTCATTATTTAAAAGTAAGTTGACTACTTTCCACATGCATTCAGTATTCTTATAAGCACAATAAATGGCGAAACTATCAACTCTCCTTTCTTTCTCAGTCTAGTTTGTATGCTTGTGTGTACGTCCTTTATGGCGATATCTATTAAGTAAATCTATCATGCGCAGGACATTTTCTCATCTAACGCTGGTCAGTGCTTTGGTATTACAAGATTCAATTCTGTGCTGAGACTTAAACTCGGATTAATAAAAGAATCGAATTCTCCTTGAGGCAGTTCAGCAGTTAACGCTTTCGCCTCCTATGCTCTTCGTATTGAGTTTCACCCTAAATAGGTTTCCATTTTATTTGACCTTAGAGATATATTAATGAGATTTAGTTACAAACCGGTATTCATGGGATCCTCATAGAATATCATTGACAATGAATGGTTGCGTGAGTGATAAACACATCAACGTTCTACATCGAGTGTCCATCTATTTAATATGTTATCAGACTGGGATTCCTCTAGTAAAATTTAATAATAAACGATTAGAAACATGAATCGGACATTTTGCTCAATCCACGGAATGACAGTTCATTAATTAACAATGTTACAATCATACTCTTCCAAATATCTCTTTGAAATAAATAATTTAATAGTCATTTATCAGCAATTAAATAATCTTCTTGCAACAAGTATAATGAATGTTATAAATAAAAGTAATTTATTTTGTAAATATAATATAATTTTATGTATACAGAACATTATATATATATATATATATATATATATATATATATATATATATATATATATATATGGAGGAAAGATGTATGACAAATTGGAAAATATTTTCGTGTGACACGAAACCTCCCACGAAACGTTTTCGTCACACGGAAACTTATTCCACTTTGTGATACTTCTTTCCTCCAAAACTGTTATTTATATATTTAATATTATTATAGAAAAATATAAGTAATATTTTGGATATGATATAAAACATCTAATAATAATCATAATGTACTGAAAATAATTTATCTATTTTAGAATATTTGCAATTCATTCTAACGTTTTAAATGCATTTAAAATGTCTTTTAAATAATGTATATTCGAATTCTTATACCTTCCTTGGACAAAGTTTCTATTTCAAATGTCCTCTTTTGCACATCAGCAGAAAGGAACAGAGGAACTGAAGAGGAAAGTTGATTTTTCAAGCATTTTAGCACTTTCCCAATCAAAATGAGAGAGAATCCATAATGATGCGAAATAAAAGCAATGCGCATGCGTTGTGTTCTCTTCGGTTAGGCAACCGAAATAGAACAAAGGTGATAGATTGATATCATCTGTGTTGAGGCATAACGTCTTAACACAGTGTGCCGAGCGATTCGTTTAGATTCAATAAATAAACACCAAGAAGTGCTATATTTATGAGGTTTGCCTGAAACGATGGCCAAGTGAAGCTTTGGCGAAAACAAAAAGGTTTCACAATTCACACCAACAGAAAGAATTTCGTTCTCACATGTGCATGCATACACTATCTTTGACACACACACACTATCTATGAAATACATACTGTCTCTGATTCACACATGTAATATTTTTCATGCGACAGACACACACCGTATCTCCATATCTCATGTACAAACGTATGAAAACTATCTCTGATGCACAGACATATATTATTTTGATGTACATACACATACAAACTTAGCAGGACGCCACAAGTGTAGGGCATTTAGCGGGAAACGAACTCTACTCAGTCGTAATGTTCAATGCGACTAAGTCACTAGCCATTGTCATTCACCGTGACATTGGTGTACGGAAGTCCTTGTTACGCGTCTTCTACTTTCGACAATCATTTTTTTAAAGGTAAAACTATGCAAATGAAATTGGGAGACTATAATATAATAGGAAATATTTATGGTGCAAACAACATTTGAAAACGTGTATCTATGGTTAATTTAGCTCTTTCTTTTTCTTTGTACATATATAAAAACAAAAAGTAAAGTAGAAGAAACGAGAAAATAAAATAAAATGAACCTAGAAATATTTAAAGGAATAAATTAAAATAAAATTAAAGAAAAAATGAAAGATAAAGAACGAAAGCAAAAAAAAAAGATAGAAAGTTGAATTTATTTTTCTTGATGCTGAATCTACTACTACTACTACAACTACTACAACTACTACTACTACTACTACTACTACTACTACAACTACTACTACTACAACTACTACTACTACTAAGAACAATATCGTATAGAAATGCAATGCACAGCGATTTCTGGGAATTCGATGCGTGTGTTTTTAAATAAATACGAAATTCAGGGATCTTTTCTGTTAATTCACCCTGAATAACGTAAATTTACTTTTCGCAAATATTAATTCAGCCCAAGAAATTATAAATTTTAAATCAAAGATGGTTTGCTTTTTATTAAATTTTTGGCTCTCTTATGAAATTATAAATTTTAAATCAAAATTTGTTTAGCTTGCATCACAATCAAAATGAAAAATTTCCAAAATCAGGGAGTTATTCACATTTCGTAAGTGTGGGTGACATTCGAGGAATTTTTTAAAATTAAAAAAAAAAAAGAAAGAAAAAGAACGTAGACCCTACCCTTAGAAATAGTCCACCCGAGTCGCCCACATTTAGGACGATCACAATAGTCAACCCACCCAAAGTGCAATGAAAGGTCATCACTCTGGGAGAATTTGGTGTGAATTTTAGTAAATATAAATTCTTTTTTATTTTGGGGTGAATTAATATTTCTGCGTGAATTAAAAAAAGATCCGTATTCAGGACACCGTAAATGCATCATAGGATTTTAGTAAGCAAATACCAGGAGAGACATCCTGTCTCTGCTCCTTATAGATTTAGAATGTAAAATTATGTTTATAATTTAATACAGGAATAAGTTAATGTTAAATCTGTCAGTTCGATTGAATTTAAGACAATTCTCATGTTTCCTATGCGATATATGCTAAATAAAGAAAAACAATTATCAACGTTTTAAAGAAAAATAATAAGTTCTTTACTTGAAGATTGTGAAACGCTACATTATTTTAAGGGTAGTATTTAAAAGTAACAAACAAACGATCCGTGTGTGTGTTGACTAGACTGAATTATTTTCTATCAAATAGTGTATAAATGAAAATCCGTTTTTCTAATCAATATTTGAATGACCATAACAAAATTGCTCGCACTCAAAGCCTAGTCACTGATGGTTTCCATTTATATGGCGAAATCGGTCTTCATATTGTTTCTATAATTTATTATTACTTTAAAAGTTAGATTTAGTGGGTGAATGTTTGATTTGAGATCCCTGTTATTTTTCAAACAATGGTATTATATCAATCGACCTAGATAGGAAAAAAAAACCTGTGCCTCTCGACAAGTACCGAACTAATATATCCTTTTCCATCCTTTTCCATCCTTTTAAGCTAAGTGTGACTTACCAATTATGTAACGGGAAGGCACAATGACAAATAATGTCTCAATTACTCTAGTGAAGAACTGGGTTTGGTTTGTGTTACATATTTTTCATATTATCATTTTCTAGGAGATTTAATACCAAATTCTATCGTTTTGATAAACAACACATAGATAGACATGTGTTTAGTTATCAGGCAAACATGTGTCCTCTTTTTTGGTGGGGTCTACCCCCGCTGCACCGGGATGTAGTCAGCGTATTCTTGAGCCTAACCGACAGGGCAGCTCTCGTGATAATTCATCTGATAATCTGTATAAAATATATTGACCTAGGGTGATTAAAACTATTTCTGTGCCCAATTTAAAATAAAAAAAATGTGAAACTTACGATTCCGAAAACGGCGATGGCAGTAAGGCCATGGGGAGATTTTTGGGCCATCGACAAATTTTGGTAAACATCCAGATTAAAGGCAAGGATCTGGATCTGAAATAATGACGAAGGTAAATAAAACAAATTATACCAAAGGAACTGAACATGAGAAATGAAAGAAATAGCAAAGATTATCAAAATTAAATTTAAATATATCAAGAATATTCATAATAAATAAAGAATATTCAATAATAAAATGAGTATAATTTGCAACTAGTAAAATCTTTCATTTATATAAACTAAAAAATTCATTCCTCACAAACGTTGTCCCCGCCTAACATATCATGGCTTCGTGAATATAACATAGACAGGGTCCTTCTCGGCTGCTACAGGTTCTCAGGTGGTTAGTAAAGTCCACGCGGGAAATGCGTGTCTTTCTACTAGGATTACGGATATGCACAAGCAACCGGGAGATACTCCAGCTTTGTGGAGTTGCCACTTTTCTTCTGTTCTTTTTCTACAGCCTTTTGCCCGATAGATCATATGTCAACATGTCAATTTTCTCCTTTTCTCACTGATAGCAGCTGAATTAAAAGGAGAGGAAGAGTGTAGTATCTCTGATGCTCTCGTTCTTCGTCGACCTGAGAGTAGCTGTCCAAACATTAGAACCTTCAGAAGACGATACCTATTCATGTATGTATGGCCATAGACTGTTTTAAAAAGTTTGGTAGCATAATCATTAAAAGCTGAATATTATGTCAGATGCAATATTAATCAATGCTTCATTAAATTAAAGAAAGGTTCACATTGCCAATTTTAATAATTGAACTGAAAAATAGTTTTATACAATTGATGACTTATGATGTAATTTATCAGAATAAATTCAATAGCATCTCTTCATCTATTGCAAAGAATAAGTGATGACGCAAAACAAAACAACGTTATTATGAAATCTAATAATGATTATCAGTTCTGATTCTGAATATTTTCAGTTAACAATAAAGTATCCTTTTTCTTAAGTGAATTTCAATGAAACATTATTTGATAGTAAAATTGTGAACCTAGCATAATTAAAATAATTTAAAAGAAAACATTGAATAATAATCACTAAAATTATAAATACTGTATCAGTATTTATTGAAGATAATAGAAATATTGATTAGTAATCACCTCAGTCTCAAATACAGAAGTAATTAAATCAGATAGGAAAAAAATACTATTGTCAAAACACCCTGTTGCGAATTGCAAAAATATTTTGGAATACTTACTTCAGCCGAGAAGGAGTGACCAGCTATGGTGTGTTCGGATCCTTGGGATTCTGAACTCCCAAAGTGGATCTTTACTTCGTGAATTTGGTATCGATAGGAGAGGGGTCCACCCGTCAGAAAGACTTGATCTTTCTCTCCAGGATCGAGGCGAAACGTCACATCACGACCTGTATTAATTAAAGTTCCGTCTGACTGTAAAGAGATAAATACAATGGATTTTTAGACTTTGTTGGAGAAGGAAAACATTGGTTTAAGACGACATTTATGGAAGACTCGATGATAAACAAAATCAGCAAAAATACGTTTGGAAATTGTTGAAATGTTTATGTGCTGCAATAGCGATATGAATTAGAATTGGCTTAACCAAGTGCAAGAAACTGTAATGCAAACAAGCAAAGGTCTATAAATTTATATATATATATATATATATATATATATATATATATATATATAACTAGGTATCTAAGTTGATTGCATGACTTATGTTAACTTCCAGGAGAGTGACTTGTTGCGACTTTTCGGGCCAATGTTCTCGGCTGATATGAAGTAGAAAGACTATATTGAATCCATTGCTAAGTCAGCTGCTAAGAAAGTTGCTTCATTGTGTTGTGCGAGACAATTTTTCTCACTAGAATCTATCATACATATCTATGTCTATCATTCGCCCATGTTTAAAATATTGCGGCCACATTTATCTACAGCCAAAGAAGAATGAGCAATATTATTGGTCATTATCTATTGCCTCTGCTTCAATCCCTTTCCTACAGCGGTAAGGTCCGCCCGCGCCTTTTCTATAAATACTTTCATGGTAATTGCTCGGGTGAGGTCTTCACTATGGTACCTAGACATTTTGAATTTAAGTGCAGTACTAAACTGGCGTCGAGATCTCATCTATTTATAGTTGAGCTAGCTAGATGTAATTGTAAATTCTATGCTAACAGCTTCTTTTCACACACTTCTCGCCTGTGAATCCCCATTCTGTCTTCACGCTTTCCAGCCAACTTTAAACGTCAAAATTAAATTCAATGTCAATTTCTACCTAATGTCCTCTTGATTATCTTCTTTTTTTTTCTAGCTCCTTAGTAAATGTTTCTGTTCCTAATTCTTCCACATTCTGTAACGCCTTATGTCTTAGTAGCTTTACTGCCTTGCATGAGGTGATACCGATTATATATATATATATATATATATATATATATATATATATATATATATATATATATGCGTGTGTGTGAGAGAGAGAGATAGAGAGAGAAAAAGTGAGATAACAGTTTTTATTATACTACTGGGTATATATGTATATACTACTGATTATGCATGCATTTACATGGCTACGTATTTGTTTGTATCTTTCTCTATGTGTCTGCATATTAATAAGCTCATTCGTAACTAACAAGCTTATGAATAACAGCGTATTTCCTACATGCTTGTAAAACGCATTGAGTCAGTTGTCACTAGTGACAGCTGCATTAAATATTCTCATGGTTTGATAAAGTTTTGTCTCTGCTACTCATTGAAAATAAATAAGGTGCGGTACCAAACCTTGCAAAATAATTTAAACATACAAAATGTGTCTTCAGGAACACGATATTTTGTCCTATCAAAATTATCAAGCAGAAAAGAGACTACAAAAGAGAAAATAGAAATGAAACACACTGAATATTTGTTATCCACAAGATTAAACATAGAAGCAATAATATATGGATTACAGTAAGTGATCACATATCAAAATCAATATGGGCACAGGTTCTGAAAGTAGGGGTCTATCAACTCCGTATTAATACATTATCGGCCGTTATCGAATCATACAGATAGTGAATACAATCCTGCCATATATTATTATACGCCTGTAGCACATATTGACACAATACAACAAATGTTGTTGGTGGGCTAACTGAACGAGTCAGATGCTGTACTATCATGTCACGTGCAAATTCACTAGGTTTGACAATCGTGTCAGCCAGGGAATTTATTCGAATATCTTGCTAAACCTGTTGTGTAGTACGGGGATCATGTAAACGGGTATTATTCTGCAGCAAGAGCACATCAAATCTGTTGCAGCAAAAACAAGTTGAACAAACTGTTCAAGCGTCGTTCAAAAAGCACTAAAGAGAAGCGGGATTCCAGTAGTTAGGCTTGTGTGATGTGAGTGAACGTCCCCCCCCACCCCGGAAAGTGTTGCTCCCCAACTCGATGTCTCACACGGAATGTGACTTGTAGGAAGATAGAACCATCTCTCAGCATCGAACACTGCAGAAAGCTGTTTAATCTCGCAGGTGACCCACTCGCGATAGCACCCAAGATGTTTTTAACAGTATAAGTGTTCTTATAAGCACAGCTCTAGATGCAGTACGTTTTGCAAGGATTTGCAACAGTCTCTCTTAACATTCCTGAATACACCTCTGCAGTAATCTGTGTTGTGTTTTGTCTTTACAATGCGCCGATATTGGCGAGAGTCTGTACTACATCGGAGTCCAGAATCGGACCTACAGGTTTAGGAATGTTCGTACTATTGGTGGCATCGAACTGCTGACACGTCAGGTATAACATGCAGAGAGAGAGAGAGAGAGAGAGAGAGAGAGAGAGAGAGAGAGAGAGAGGGGGGAGAGAGATGCGAATGAAGTAGAGAAAATCACATAAAATAATATAATTACAGACATCTCTATAAGTAATAAGAAAAAATGTATTTTAGATTAATGTTTAGTTATCATTAAAAAATTCAGCTTCCATAGTAATATACAGAAATATGTACAAATAAGTATATATAGGTGCATGCATATGCATGGATTTCTTTCTCTCTCTCTCTCTCTCTCTATATATATATATATATATATATATATATATATATATAGAGAGAGAGAGAGAGAGAGAATATAAAAATAAAATATTCTTTATATATATATATATATATATATATATATATATATATATATATATAAAGAAAGAGAAAAGAGACAGGAAGATAACAAAAATCATTTGAAAATTGGTTAAAATGTAAATAGTGAAAGTCTTGTACAAATTAGATAACAATGTAGTGAATTCCAAAGATCAAGCAATTTTTTAAAATGGAAAATTATCAAAATTGAAAATTTAAAGGAAAATAAACAATATAATAGAGTAAAATTGTAGAAGAGAAAGAAAATGCATCGAGAAAGCAAGGATACTAAATTTAAAAAGTTTTCAAACAAAAATATAAAGAATCTAGCCAAAAAATGAAATAAAATTCTGAAGAACAATAAGTTTTGAAAATTATTTTTACATATAAAGAAAAAAGATGGCAAACAAACCACATAAAAAAAAAACAGTGACCTAAAATAACAAAAAGAAAACAAGAAGGAAAGAAAACAAATTAGAAAGAAGTTCGCGAATTGAGAATTGTGTAAAATTACAAATTGATTGCAGTTGAAAGTCATAATTATTAAAGGTAAAGTAATTTATCACTATTAATTGCTTTAGGTGACACCGAGTTAAAGAGTCAGGCGTTAAAATAATTGACAATAACAAAGGAAGGACGCATGCGCATTGTAGGAAAGGATCTATTGTAAGAGGAATGATGTCTACAAAATATGAAGACGATTTATTCATTCGACGAATTTTTACTTTTATTTAATGTAATAACAGCTGTAAAGGAAAAAGAACGAAAATGAGAAAGTTGAAAATTCAATAAGTAGATGAATATAAAAATAAAATTCAGAAAGAAAACAAACAAACAAAAAAAGAAAAAAAGATGGAGGAAAGAAATCTTATCATTGGTTCCTGACTATAAAGAAAAGAAATAAAGCATTTATATAGAAAGGAAAGATGAAGGAAAGCGTCCATGGTTTTTACAGCAGAGTGAAAAATAATAAAAGTAAATGGAAAGATGAAAGCATGAATGAAAGAAGAGAGTGATTTAAATGGATGAAGAAATAATAAGATTATTTACAGTTGGAATAATGTCCTCCATCTTTGCTGTTATTATCAGAACGTTTCGGTTGTTGTGTCCACCGACCTTCTTCTGTCTGTCGGATTAGATAACTTTCAAGGAGTTTCAAACTGGTCTTTTTATTTAATCTATGAGAGAGTTTGTTCTCGACCTACTGTCCATATTCAGGGATATCTCAACATCTTTTATTCAATTATTTCACTGAATCTGTACTAACCAGCCCAGGGATTGAACGCACAATTACTTTGCCACCAAATTCACGAACAAACACTGTAATCCCCTAGTCTATTGTTACGTGTTAATAATAACAACAGCAATGAGAACATTATTCCGATTGTAAGTAAAGTAAATAATATCACTTTTTGCTAGAAAATGAGACAGAAACAAAGGAAAAAGGAGAAAGAAAGAACCAGCAAATCTGAACACATGACGGAATAAAATAATCAAATAAATGTAATGAAAATTATCAAGAAAAATAGGCTTCTTTTGAAAAAAAAAATAAAGAAAGAGAAAGGAAATAAAATAAAAAGTAAGTAAAAAAGAATGGAAGGGTGGAAGCAAGATAAGAAAATAAGACAAGGGCAAAAGAAACGATAGAAGATAAAGGTTGGATGTTGGAAGCAGGAAAAAAATAAAGAAAAATTGACACAAGCAAAACGACGAAAAAGTAAAAAAAAGCATAAAAAAATGAAAAAGTAAGAAAGATGGAGAGTTAAAAACGAAAACAAAAGAATGAAAACAGAGAGAGAGAGAGAGAGAGAGAGAGAGAGAGAGAGAGAGAGAGAGAGGGAGAGAGAGAGTGAGAGAGAGAGTGAGTGAGAGAGAGAAAGAGTGAGAGAGAGAGAGAGAGTGAGAGAGAGAGAGAGAGAGAGAGAGAGAGAGAGAGAGAGAGAGAGAGAGAGAGAGAGAGAGAGAGAGAGAGAGAGAGAGAGAGAGTGAGAGAGAGAAATTAACGAAAATTTTAACATAAAAGTATTAGATATTGAAAAACAATGAAAATGAATAAGTAGAATAAGTATTAAACAAAAGAAAAAATGATGACGTGATCGGAGAGAAGAAGAATAAAGAGATGAAAAAGAAAAGAACAGTTAATATGCAGGGAATAAGTGATATGATGAAATTAGTTTAATATTATAGCATTATGGAGTTAGAATAGGAACAAGTATTGGTAGTCGATGTCATCTGTGCAAAACATTAACCTATCAGACACACATTAATGTTGCATACACTCATAGCCAATTTGGAGGAAAAGGTGGTCTTATATAGCATAAAATAAAATAAGGTCTCATTCTAAATGATTTCAGAAAAGTTTCAAGGTGTTAAATCAAAAGTTTAGCCAACAAAATCGTCCAACATGATATTCATTTGCTTCATTAAATTTTCTTTAAAAGCTACCACTCAAGTTCATTGTTTTATCTAACCCAACTGCTTTTATTTTAAGCTACGGACTGTCAGTCTTGGATGCGTTATATACTTTTCACTGATGGCTCCTATTTGTATTAAATATAACGCTTCGTTTGTTGCTTTCTATTGGCGCAAGTCTCTTTTTATTTACCTTCGTCTATCTGCGGATATATTTAGAAAATAAAATGGAAAATCTACATTACGAAAAAAGAGAACATTCATCATAGATATTTATCTAAAAATATTGTTGTACTGAGCCTGTACCTGATTCATCAATGGTGCAAATATATTGGGTGTAACATGTAGGTATTTCCACAGACTCTCTTACACACAAATGTAGATAACAGCAAATAACAGTTAATGTGCTAACATTGCAAGCAACCTCTAGCGAGTTAGAATCACAATGGCTTCTCCATGACTGTGGTTTTGTTTTAGATTTAGTTTTCTCCGAAAAATATCACGCTTTCACTTACTCGGTGACTCGAACAAGCATCTACACATACATAAGCGATTTAAATATTAAAATATGCTCGCACATACCCAGGCACTAGCAAAGACTCAAAATATTAGCATATGTGAATGTTACTCCCAAGGATATATTCAAGTAAAATGAGTATAGCAGCATACAGACACGATCACTTTTTCATAAACCTATCAATGTAGGTATTTTCACAGTTTCTTTTAAATGTATAAATATTACCGACTGTTGTTTTAGTTACAAAAAAATAACCTAACAATATCATCAGCATTACAACTAAACTACAAACTGTCAATCACTATCTTTTGTTCAATATAAATGATAAACGATGCATGTCAATCCACATACCAAAGCGAAGAAAGCAGACGTTCATGCAACATAAAGAAAAAGAAAAGCTATTAAATAGTGAACAAAGACGCTAGAAGAATCGTCGAGTATAACCAGGAAGAAAATGTATATCTTGCTCGAGAACTGCAAATATATTTAAGACGCTCAAAAACTTAATGTTATTACAATGTGGAATATTTAGGCAATAACAATAAAAAAAAAGTGGCTGAAAGCCGAATGAGGTCATCAAATGTCAAAAATTTAAGACTAAAACTTCAGGTATCTTTTGTTTTTGACATAAAACTGTACCGGGATTTGTTGCATTTCATCTCTCACTCCCTCTCACACACCCGTTAAATGAATTATGAGACAAAGTTTACCCCTAAATTGACAAGTCCTAGTAGATTTCAACCTCATCACCACCACTGCCACCATCATCACTATCGCTGCTGTACACTAATTGTCATTTCTAACAACAAAAAGATCAGCAATAGACTTTATACTGTTTTTAAGAGATAAGATTTTTGCTACCATTCCTGAAGTAAATATTTTGAATTTAACTTTTTTATTAAAGTTATTTAACAAGATGTCAATTTAAGATTTCTTTAATGTAAGTTTCTTTTAAGTAACTTTATTTTAGACATCAGGAAATACCTGAGGCTTTTCGATTATTTCAATTGAGACGAGATGAATATTCTGAACAAGAGAAGTCTCGGATTGTCAAATTACCTTCGGCATAACTAATTACCACAGACATCAGAGGCTGCTTTGACATTGCTCTTGTGTGAGAGAAAGCTATTGTTTTTGAAAACGAATCCGGTACCTACTCGAATTCTTCACAGGTGAGCAAAGGTAGGGATCCTTCATCAAAGCATCAGTTATCGTGTAGTCAAAGAATTTCTTCCTCCTCCTTTTTTCTTCATCTTCTTTCGAGCCTTTATCAAAGATGCTTAGAAATTAGTCATGCAACGAGTCAGGCGTCTATAATTATACACTGACGCTAATCAAGAGAGAACTGTGCCTATTACCGTGGGGCAAATACAAGTATGTAGATTTATATACACCTAGTAAGAGAAACGTCCTTCATAGATAGAGACATAGATACTTTACATAAGTCATGCATGAATAATGGTGATTATCTTCCAAAAGGCAATTTTGCAATCAATTCAATCCTTTCTTCATACGAACGTGAAAGGTAATTATAACTTAACGTATAAATAGTTCTTGAACATTCCCTGTCTTCTTAAAGTAATTGCGTCTCTACATGATTCAAATGCAGGACGCATTTTGCTGATGGTTGAAGCGGCATTAGACACGCAACGTCCACAATACGATACTTTTCCTTTAGTCGTCATCAAAACTCTACTGTATGACAGAAAGTATTATAGGGACTTAAAGCAACAGACATTCTGAAATAACAAGCCAGTTATAGTTAAGCGGTGAATTTAACAATCAACTAAAAGAAAATATACTTCTATCTCCAATCACAAACAAAACATAACTATCTATATTTTATAGAAAAGGCCCATAAATATATATAGTTACACGCATAAACTCTTAAACATAGACAAGCAATAACAGTCTAGAAAATAAATATAGCCAGGGAAACTATATAAACGCACAGGCGTTTGTAATCACACACGAGACGCAGACATTTTCCCGCCACACAGAGCCGCACTGGACTTGCATGGTTGACTTGGCTTGTTCACAAAGAGGTCAAACCTAATGAAACAAAGGCGGGTTTACCCCACCTTAGTGAAGATGAGGGGTCAGCAAGTCAAGCGTTTCTGATTTATATCGACTGGTTTTACTTTCGACATTAATAATAATGACTGAATAAATAAATAAATAAGGACTAAAAAGAATGGCAAGTAACGATGAAAAATAAGAGTAACTCCGACAAACTTACAGAGAATAAATTTTAGTATTTATTCTCAGAGGGAAACTATTTATTTAGACTCACTTTTGTGTTAATACAAAATTGATATTCAACAGTGTAAGATGCATGTGCCTTTATATCAGCGTATCTCGTAAATATAACGCAAATTCCGGTATTTAATTCTAAATGAATGAAGATGCAAGAATACGCAAGAGATATTTCTACTGATACTTTATTCACCCCCTCCCCATATATATATATATATATATATATATATATATATATTTATATATAGTCTGGTTACTCTATAAGTGCTACCGATACTATGCAATCTACTGATTGCTTGACTTACCGGTGTCTAAACCGCCGTCACCACCAAACTTTTTTCTGGTGAGGAGAGATAGCGAGACATTCAACAGGATTAAAAACAAAACCTATAGAAGGGGGAATGTAATCCTTTCATGGAATCAACGGACATCTAACACAGGTATGGGTTCCAGGCGCGCGGTAAGTTCACTGGGCCCTTTAACCTTTATCAAGGTAACTAACTCGGAGAAGGAAGACTACTTCTACTTCTACTTTTGGGGTACATGCTCTTCTTGCTTTGAGTGTGGGATTTACCCACTGCAATACCATTTTCCACTTTAAAAATTTCAGGCATAGGTATTGCTTGCTATTATAAGTTACAACTGAGTCTTGTAGTGATATGATAACCATAGTTGGCAACCAGTGACATGATACAGAAGGATCGTAGAAGAACCCCACGTACTCAGCCATAGCAGCAGTGAGGTGTCTAGGGTGAGATAGCCGGATGGATCCCAACATTCTTCAGGTTGGTTTTAATTCAGATTGTTTTCTCTTGACAAAAGATCTAATTCAACCATGCTGTTTAACTCACATATAAGAGGAGAAGCAATAGATTCATACATTTCCCAAAGGGTATTTGTGTGAAAGTAAACGTAACGAATCAGACTGGAATTTGAACTTGGCTCCCTGATTTCACTTTGAAATTCTCTAGCCATTACAATAGTCGCACATCCTCAGATGGAATTCCAAACGTTTAATTTTAACTAAATTCACTCAACATATATTTTTGACGGTATTATGGCAGATGTCATATAAGAGTTTGTTTTAATTATCAAAATTGACGAAATTAAGATGGAATAAAATAAGTCATTTTTCGATATATTATACATTTTTTTTTATTTAAAAAAAGATAAAAATGCGACACAAACCAAAATGTAGTGCACGTTATGGAGCAGATACACGAAAATATATTCAAGTAATCTGTAACTTGTATTGGGAAAGAACAATTCTACAAATTAACATTCACAAGGCATATTTAAGAAGAGAGAAATAGGGGAAACAAAGGGTAATCTGCTTGACGATTTTGAGTAAATGGATGGTGGAAATGCTGCTATTCCACCAACCATTTACCCAAAATTGTCACTATGATAAAGAGAAGCCCATAAAGGAGAAAATAATGCTGAAAGCAAAATAAAATGGCAGGAAAGTATCTGAAGAGATTTGAAGAAGGGGGAGAAAGAGAGAAAATGAGAGAAAGCGAGATGGGGGGAGGAGAAAGAAAGTGAATGGAGGAAAAGAGAGATAGAGAGAGATAGAGAGAGAGAGAGAGAGAGAGATTTGGATCAAAGGTGTTTGAGAAGTTTCGTGCTGAAAATGTCTCGCTGAATGATGCTCCCCAGTAAGTAAACCAGTTGAGGTTAACAGCGATTAAATCAAAATTTTAGGTATGAATAATTAGTGTTTTATTATGTACTAACAAATATATTAAAACTAACAAAATCAAGCACAGAGAATCATTTTCAACAGATCAGTTATGTTAGTCACTCTGAGGTGTGGCTTCCACATCTCGAAAA